TCGGTTGGTAGGAGCTACTGTTTTAAAACTCTTTATAGACCTATTTGATTCTTTAAAACTTCTTGAACATATCACTTAGATAATAGCAAAATAAAATTTACATAAAATTGTAACTCAGTAAGATAGTTAACAAGTTGGCTAAAGAAACCTAATACGACTTTGTCATTCTTACGTGGTAGTCCATAAATCTGATTTTAAGTCAAACTGGAGTCTACCTAAATTGTGGTTCGATTAGTATCACTTGAAAAAAAATTAAATTTGGAATTAGAAAATAGCTATTTAGGACAATAACATTTTTTTACATTATAAATATGCTACAATGACATGAATATCTCCCATTGTTTTGTTTTATACAGAGCTCTCTCAGTTACTGCTTTGTGACCTTACTCTGCATTTTAATAATCCTGTGAAGACAGAGGATGCTAATGAAATTGAAAAAAACCACCCCCTCTTTGAAGAGTCTAAATTGTCTGATGTGTCCCTTGCCTTTAATAGTTTTTCCATCTGATTGTTTGTTTATTATAAATTGCTAATTGTATTGTAGAATTGAAAAATCCAGGAGAATTGAGTTTGCTCATAAATGTAATATCATTAGAAACAATAAATATATGTAGAGTTGTAAATATTTTCAGTTTTATTTATTTATTTAATTTTTACATCTTAAAGCTATTTCATAGCTGTTTAAATATTTCAGAGGGTTGTTTATTTCACTAATGATCCAGAACATGACAGGAAATTATTTGTGGACATTGCTTATCTTTTACCTTATACTTGAATTTAGCTCATGTTGAAAGAGACTTAATGAATTATTAGTGGATGGTATGAGTTTATATTAATCAGAAATCTTCTGGTTGTACTTGCCCCAAATAATTCAAACTTGTGGAAGCTTGCATTGGGTCTTGGAAGTCCATTGGTTGGAGTAGATTTCAGTGTCTCCACTAATTAACCAGCGGGCTTTTTCTCAGTCTGAAATCTCTTCTTTGTAGACTAATGTCCTCCATGGTAGGAAGAAGAGGGTTGAGACATGGCAGCAGACAACTCCATGTTAGGGTGAGATGTCTCTCCCTAAGGAGGTTCATACGTCAGCTTTCTGCCTGCCATATGCCAGGTCTGTGGGCAAAGGAGGTGGGGCCTCTCCAAAGAATGGAGGTGCTAGTGCCTGAGGAAGAGGCTACTGAGTGCCAATTACAAAAAGATATTAGATCTCCAACACCCCTTTCCGTCATAGCCAGGGAATAGGATGCCTTCACTTGAACACTTCTTTTGTTGTTGTTGTTGTTGCTTTTCAAGACAATTTCATTTATTTGTAATTAGAAATAAATATTTCACAATATATAATTACATATTGTTTTTGTGATTAATCACTATGCTTTAATTATGTTCAATTGGTAACAATGAAAATACATCCTGCATATCAGATATTTACATTACGATTCATAACAGTAGCAAAATTACAGTTATGAAGTAGCAACGAAAATAATGTTATGGTTGGGGGGTCACCACATGAGGAACTAACTGTATTAAAGGGTCACGGCATTAGGAAGGTGGAGAACCACTGCTCTAAGTAGAAAGCTGGATTAACAGTCTGACCTGGTGGAACAGACGCCTTTGTCCTATTCTGCCAGAAGAGACTAAAAAGAATCAAGGTTGCTTTGTAAATGTGATACACTAGAATATAGTTGCCTTGAAATATGCACATTTCTTTGAAATGTGTCCTTATTCTCACTATTTTTGGACATCAAGAATGGGCACACTGAAACAAGGAGCAGATTGTACTCGCTCCAGAGCAGCGCTTTGGTGTCTGTTATTCCCACTGCCCAGCATGGATCGGGCAGGGACTGAACAGTCAACTGGGTAACCTGTTGATTAAATCATGTAATTTCCATTTCATAGCATGGGGTTTGGTAAAGTGCCAGCTCTTATTATCATTGGTTTAAGTCTCTACTGACCCATTCTCTTAGAAAGTCATCAGTTTGAACCAGTAAACATTTAAACCCTTTCCTATATCCTTTCTTTTGGATTGTGGACATGAAGATAGAAGGTATTCCTTTGTCACTTGGAAAATGTGTGAACTGAGCAGAGAAACCAGAATAGTTTGTTAATATAGATGGAATAATGACTGAGGCCCCCAAAGAAACACTTGATGAGTTGTTGTCACTGTGTTGTTGCTTCATCCTAGGTTTGGGCTTTGCTAACGGCCCACTAGTTTGTGTTAATGAGGCATGTACACTGAAGAAGAATCAGATCGCTGTGGAGGATGGAAAGAGCCTGTTTGGAAAGGATAAAGAGAAGGGGATTTATGGCAATTGTCAGAGGGATGAAAAGAGAGAGAGAGAAAGGGAAAGTTAGGCCACTTAATATGAAAGTCTGATGTGCGTGCGTGCGTGCATGCGTGTGCACTGCTGCCTCGTGCTCAGGGAGTCTTGGGTAAAGTCTCTCTTGGCTATGCTTCTCGGGTAGCAGAGGTGGAGGGGAGCAGGGTGTGGGAATGGGATGAAGTGCCAACTTAAACCCAAGTGCTTGAGATACCAAAGTCTGTGCTTTGTCTCTAAATTTTTAATGCTTTTTCTGTTGGTATTTGTAGTTTAATTTTGCATCAAAATTTAAAACAACGCAGTAATAGAGACTACAGAGTAAAGTCATTGAAAGTTGTTTTAGGAACCCAAAAGGAAACCAAAAGGTCAAATTCATTTTAATTCTAGAAAGTTATCCCAACATACATTTATCTTCTCATTAAAACATACACGAGACACCCCCGCCCCCAAGCAAACACCACCAAATAAGAAAGAATAAAGTCCTATATTCAAGCCTTTAAAGTATTGCTGCTGAGAAAGTAGATTTTAGTAATTTCAAATGATATGTAGAAAATTAATGATTGCCTCTGATGGACAATGGTCTGTCTACTGGGGAAAAAAATTCATGTGATACCATAA